TATATATTCCATACTTATTAAATAACTTTATAATAGATAAATCTTTATAAGTAAATAAGACTAGAAAACAGTGATTGGATATCTTATGCTATTTAAATGAAACTCTTTAGCCATATTTCACATATATATGTGTGTGTGAAATATGCTTTATACTTAACTTTGAATAATGAATTTCAAACAAAAGTGAGTTGTATTTACAATAATTTCATTTTCTGTAGTCAAAATTAAAAGATTACTTAAATTACACTTAACGAAACAAGTTTTTTTCGCTTGATAGTAGTACAGTGCTACCTTGCTGGCAGTACTAATACATTTTATTTACTAATCAATTGCTTCGTTATTCTTGAAAGAGAGCCAGATAAGTAAACTTTTGCCTTCCTACAAAACTCCACTTGTCATTTACAGAAAGCTAAAGCTAGTAACTCACTTGAGCTCCTCATTGCGTCCAGAAGGGGAACTGTGAAAAACAACACAATAAAAAATATACTTTGTAACTCAAGGGGTATAAAACATATGGTACGTACCTCTACTACACTGCAACTCTACAAACTAATATATGTCATTAATTATTTATACATTTTTCTTGTTATCATGTGAGAATGCACTTTGTAACTTTCCCTGAAATGACAGTACCTCCATTTCATTGCAACATTTGGCCATTTGCTGTTTTTGTAATTACTTCAATCGTGATCATTGTTTTAGTATAATACACGAATTTTCTGATGAAACTGTGTTAATATGTATGTATTCAATAGTTGGAACTAAAGTGGTAGTTCATGCTCATTGTCTGTAATGGGAACATTGTGGAAAAACTCTCAGATAACCAAGTTATACACTAACAAACCTGGACAAGTCGTGAAAAATCAATATGTTGCATAACCATCATATTGTTATTTATTGCTCATGATCTAATTATGGACTTGACAACAGCAACTAGAAGACCTATAATGGCTGGAGACGGCTTGAATGGGTAATGAAGAAAAACTTTAATATAAGTTTAACATAACAGCAAATGTACAACGTTTCGACAAGGTTTTGTCATCATCAAACGTTGTACATTTGCTGTTATGTTAAACTTATATTAAAGTTTTTCTTCATTACCCATTCAAGCCGTCTCCAGCCATTATTAGTCTCAAAGTGGGTTCCTCGTCATCGAACTAGAAGACCTGTTTCTGACTGCACATCTCGTTTGGACTCATGTAGTTATCACCAGAATTGGTCGTTAGTGCATCTATACTCTTCACAGTTGAGTCAAGGTTTCATAGTTCTTCCAAAGTGGTTCACATAATTAAGAGAAATTATACTAAAGTAATGGAATATGAACCACTTTAATATGAAAGAAGTCTTATACATCCTGCTAATTGTTAACGCATTCCTCCAACCTAGTAGAGAGGTCAGCAAAACCTTGATACTCCCTTTTAAAACATCCAAATTGTTAGTTGAATCAAGTCCCTATTGGATGACGGTCCAGACGGATGGAAAGGATCTTTATAACTAGATAATCCAAGTATGTACTATGAATATTCCTCTGCAGGTAGAAGTAGATTAATAATTGGACCTAGCATATTATGCAGGCTACTAACCATGAGAATGAAAGTAGAATATGGCCGTTTTGGTGGTAGCTCAGTTATGATGTAGGGAGTCATCACTATGAATATGCTATGCTTTAGATATTAGACCCACTGACGAATCATACAATATTTAGCAACTAATTATTCTCGATGTAAGATAATGTCCAGGTTAAGGTGAACCATATTAATTATGAAACGATAGAGTTACGAAGTAGCCAAAAATGCCTTGATCATAGCCCGATAAAACATCTACCAACCCACCTCGGATGCTTTATACATCACTCGATCATAGCCCGATAAACATCTACCAACCCACCTCGGATGCTTTATACATCACTTGATCATAGCCCGATAAACATCTACCAACCCAACTCGGATGCTTTATACATCACTTGATCATAGCCCGATAAAACATCTACCAACCCACCTCGGATGCTTTATACATCACTTGATCATAGCCTGATAAAACATCTACCAACCCACCTCGGATGCTTTATACATCACTTGATCATAGCCCGATAAACATCTACCAACCCACCTCGGATGCTTTATACATCAACTACTTTACATACAACATGACATAACATATTTTGGCATTGAACCGTCTGAGGAATGAAACTATCAGTTGCAGTTTAAAACTGCTAGATTCTACCTAGAATATAACATGTATCTTTATTAAGGTATATCAAGGAATGATTGGGTGTGGCCTTGCGGTTATCATACTTGAACTGTGATATGGAAAGTTCAAGGTTCGTGGCCCCTTACCAGAAAATCACACTACATACTTTAAAACAGTATGATCACTCTAATTTTTGAGTCAAATCCCATTATTTGGTCAGACAAAAGTAGCCCAAGAGCTGGCGGTGGGCACTGTTGACTTGTTACCTTCCTTATAGTCTGTCAGTTCAAAATTAGGGATGGCTATGTGCATATAGGCATTCGTGTAACTTTACTTGAAAGAAACATAAATATTTAGGAATATTTATTTTTCAACTTGTATGCAGGTGTGCTATTATTAGTAAAAATCATGTAAAAATAATTCATTAGCTGAATTAGATACATAAATGGTACTTCTGAACTATATGAAGTTGAACATTGTTAACATTTTGTTAGTTTAAAACTTTGGTTATACGTGGCAGTACCAATTTATTTTTGACATTATAATGGTAGCAATACATTGCTTACAGCCTAATAGTGGGTATGTATGTGTAGCACTCTCATAACAGTAATATAGTAGTGGTAATATTAGTATCAGTAATACTTGTTAACACACTAGCACAGTTGATTATATAGTATTTCCCTGGCAGTAGTTCTCTACTTACAGATTTCCCACTAAGTAGTTAGTTAGGGCCTGCTCTCTGGAAGTTTAGAGAATAACACGTCACAGGTCTGTATGTCTTTCTGATGGGGCTGAGTGAGACTGTGGATTCGAGATTCTGTGGTTTGTGCCCCATCATAATAAGAGTGATGGTCAAATCTCACTTTTTGGTTAGAGTAGCACATGAGTTGGCAGTGGGTGTTGTTGACTAACACATGAAATTCAGGCATAACTAGCACAGATAGCCTTCTAGTATCTTTGCACAAAATTCAACAAACAAGAATGACTTTCTCTGAACTTTGGCTGAGTTCACCAATATGGAAAGAGCAATACACAAAATGTGTAAAAACCAGTTTTATTGGCAAAAACAGACAGAAACAAACACAGTTCATCAAAATAAAGCAAAGGCAAGTGTTTGCAACGAGTGGATTGAACTAGTAAAATAAGTGTATACAAATCTTTAATAAATCTTTCTTACCACTCCAGTGTGAGCCCTCCTATAAGCTAAAAGAAAAACGAAGTTAAACTAGAAAATTAAAATGAAACAAAGACAAAGAATTCTAATGTCAAAGTTAAAACTAAGAACAACCTTTCTGCAAAATATAACTTGAAATTCTCTGAAAGTCTAAAATCTTGAAGAAATCTGCTTAATATAGGAAAACTTGATTTTATATACAAGGCATAAATACATATTGTTGCGTCATCGAGGTCACGTGACTGGTGTGGCGCCACCTATTTTCTAGAACTATCCTGTACCTTGGCGAATGCTCTAGTATTTACTAGATATAGGGTAGTCTGGTATATAAAAGAGGGTGACAACTTGACGGGACAATAATGTGTGTGTAGATATGGAGTAATTGAACTGCAGTCACAGGGTATTGTTGAAGTTAACGTTCGTTCGTTATAGTGTTTGTTTTAGCGCGAATACTGAAATTAAGTGTATCGTAAAGTTGTATTCGGAAAGAATAAACCAGTTTTATTAAGTAACGACTTGTGTCGCTAAAATTTCGTCGGAACGAAGTTACGGAAAGTTAATTAACAAACGGAGACGTAACAATATAAATAGACAGTTTGTTCATTGACTACTTATCATGCACTTGATTTTCTTCCACTGCAATTTCAGTGTTGCAGGCTATTAAGAGATTTTTCAACAGAAAAGTCAGCTATATACCTCAAATAATCATGGATGTAGGTAGTGCCTGCTATCTTCCCTGTAAGAGAATACACTAAAGTGGTGTTGAGATGCGATTTATGCACTACATCGTAGAATTATCACTCGACTATTGACAGTTAGGACTATGAGGATTTTGCGATTCCTTGTTTTCTGAACCATTGAGTAAATTTTCTGACATGAAATGTTGTCCGATGTTTCAAGAACATTACTCCAACAGTCTCGCTGAGTAATAAAATAAACGAATCTCCAGTTATTTGGCGAACCTATCTGATAACTCTAATGATAATTCAGTTCACCTGGATATAGCACACACACTGCTAGATCTTGTTAAATACAATAATTGAAGTGGGGTAAGGGGAGACGAAATGCCATCCGACTTCTTTTCAGAAGGGCCCGAAATCATCCAGCTACCTTTTAAATTTGTTATGCATTTCGCGCAAAACTACACGAGAGCTATCTGCGCTATCCCTAGTTTAGCAGTGATAGACTAGAGGGAAAGCAGCTTTATCACCAATGGCTAGTGAGATTGACCGTCACATTATAACGCTCCTATGGCTGAAAGGGCGAGTATTTTTGATGTGACAGGGATTCAAACCCGCGACCTGCAGATTGCGAATCGAGCGCCCTAACTACCAGGCCGTGACAGATTCGTACCTGTAAGCTTCTCAGGATGGAAAGGTTCAATAGACGATACAATAAATATTTAAGGCAGTAAGGGACTGGGAAGAGAAACTATATTTTTTCTTCCTTAAAATATCAAGCCCTTAATATTGTCACAACTTTGAAATATATTGTATAATAAAAAAATCAGAAAGCCTTGGACATAGTCTTGTATCATAGATAATGTTTTCCAAGTGTATTTTGTATACATGAAAAGCTTCAATATAAGTGAAATTATGAACAAAATGTACACCAGGAGGAAAAATTTGTAAATATCACGTGAGTAACACAAACAAATTATTACTACTAGTAGTAGTATGATGCTAGAATCTGAAATTCCGTGTTCATGTAATTGGTTAACTAGTTGGAAATTTGAGTTTATTATTATTAAGTATGGTACTGGTAGTAAAGACTGTAGATTATTTATAGTTATACCGGGATCATAGCATTTAAATTATGTAATCATATTATTTCATTGTTCTCAACACCAATTAATTATGTACTGTTCAGTTATATGTATTATAATTTTGTATATTATTTATTTAAAATTTTAAATTGTAATTTGTAACGTAAATGTCGTAACTTAAGTATTTCAAGTTTAAGAATAATATTAATTATTATTAACTAAATGATTTAAGACCCTACGTTAGTTACTTAACACTAATAACAGTGATAGTGTGCTACTTATAGTTTTAGTAATAGGCCTACAACTACTAATACTAATGGTTAGTCAAACAAATGGGCAACAGAAATCCATAAAAAGTAAAACATATACGACACCAAAACTTGGCATGCGAGCCTCTATCTAATTTTATTTTGGTGGTTCGGTAGACAGTGAGTAGGCGTCTTATGATTGGAGAGTTGTTTCTATCACTGGTATATTTAGGGAAATATGATATAAACGAATTATGGAAGAAAACATAGATATTATGATATATTAATTCAACTGGTATATAATTGTAAAATTTTAACAGATATATTAATCATCTCTAATTAAATTATGAACATGATAGATTGACTGATGCCAACAACCATAGTTTATTGTCTCAGTTCTCCCTTTTTTTTACAACTACTACTACTACTAGAACAACTATGGTTGCTTTTAGAATTACATTGATAACAATAATATTGATGTGCAATTTTTAAAAATAAATCGAAATACATTTATTCAAATAGTAGATATTATATTGAGATTTAAAATGGAAAATATATTAACATTGTATTGTCAAAAAGAGAAATGTATGTTTTCTGCTAAAGTAAACAATTTTGAGGTGATATCATTATGTTGCCCAATAATGCATATTTTAAACATTTTTCAGTGAAGATGGTGGTTGAGTTTTCTTATGGCTTCTAGAAGTAGAATGTAAGAAAATCAAAATGATAAAAGGCAAGTTGACCCATTTCAGTCATGTTTAATAGAAAAAAAGGAAAAAAAATTAGACTTGTGTAATTATCCAGCAATTATGTTTAACTCAGATTAAAAGCACACAACATTATTTTATATTTCTAACTGAAGAAAAAAATCCTTTCCTCTTTTGTTTTGTTAAAAAGAAACATATTTGACTTAGTTGTGTTTTTTATGAGAAATTTCATTGATAATGATTGCTGTACACTATCCAAATTTTGAATACACTGTTTTGGACATTAATAAACTTGTTTTCAGGAGAAATTATTTTATTTCCAAGTAATGAAAGTATATATTTTCTAGTTAATTTTCAATTATTTTCTTGTTATTTGTTTATAAAGTAGTTCTCATAACTAAGAAATAAAGAAAAAAAACATATTCTATTGTTATGCCAATTTTTTTAATATTACTGAATGTTCTTGACATTTTTTATAATATATTTACTAAAACTTAACTTTTGAAGGACTATTATTTAAACTCAAAGTAATTTTGGTTTGTGTTTGTAAAAGATGGCTGGAATTAATTCAAAGAAGGATTTATACCATACGGACAATGAAGAAGCTACCAGAAGCTCTGAAGTGGATGACGATAAACATTTTTCTCAGAGTGAAATGGAAATCACTGATAAAGGGATGAATAAAGATTCAGGTGTAACTGGTGAAGAAGTGACTATAGGTGATACAGAAGTGGACAGAGTAGTCACTTCAGATGAGGATGTTGATGCATCAAAAGTAGAAGTACCGATACTTCAAGAATTCTCTCCCTTGACACATTTACTTGGCACTATTCCTCTTCAAGCTCAGAGGGGACTGTTTACAATGGATATTAAGTTAACTTGTGTTGATGCCATAGATGAGTTTGTGGTTCTTGGTTCATCTATCGGAGTGGTGTTTATGTATCACAGAAGGAGATGTGAAACACGTAAGCTTCGATGTGAGGTAATTATATGTACATCCAGTGCTGGACTGAAAATTTAAACTTGTGTCTTTAACTCTTTTTCAGCTCGGTCCCTGGGACTGACCTCGTTACATTTTGTGCTTGTTATAGTTTACGTGCTATAACTTTTAAACTAGTAAGCGTATGTTAACAAAATGTAGCAGATTATCAATAAACATTACAATGCTTTCATATGCAACATATAAATTTTTTTATTAAGTCTTAAGGTTTGTTAAGCAATGTTTTCTGATGTTTTTTTTTCTTTTCTCATGTTGCCTATTTAACATGCAAAGTAATTTTAATTTTAAGATTAAAAATACTTTTATGCATCAGAAACTTTTCAAATTTCACATGTGAAATCTTTATAATTTTCAGATAGTTATCAAACGTTTTTTAAGAAAAAGACTTTATATTTTATCTGTTATTTTCACAAATGAATCTATGTTCAGGTTTAGTAGATTTGATCAATCTTGTAACCACCATAAAAATTTAGAAAATAAATATAAATTGTGCCTCTTTCTTTTTAGAATGACAACAAATTATGACACGAAAGCATAAATGTTTAGAACTAAATAGCTTAAATTTCATTATGCATTTATATATATGTATTATTTTTATTATATTAACCTTTCAGCCATGCCTGGCTAACAATACAGAAGTTACAATGATGCAGCACGTGCTCTCATGTTACCGTATCCAATAATATCAAACTGACCTTTTGTCTTTACAAAGTGACCTGTCTTGGTTGTGTTTTAGTAGACTAGTATTTTGTAAAATACAGTCACATTTCCATTATTATACATTATATATGTGTACAGATTACTACTATTTAGAAGCAAGTTTTTAAACTTATTTTTCTTAAAACATAGAACAGTAAATAAAGAAGTAAAGTAAACAATTATCTCTTTTTAGTTGTGAACTTTGCCTGACGTTTAAAATTTTGCATGTGGAGGATATGAAATTAAATAATATTTTTTTTAGGTTTTATATATATACAGTTGAATAACTAAAAAATCATAAATTACTACATCAATACCATAGAATTCTACTATAATATATCAAGTTTAGTAACTGAGCTGTATTTAGGGTAAAAAAAAAATATGAAATTTCGAGCAGACTAAAGACACAACCTACCTCATTGAAATCTTGGTTCGAAAGAATGAGATGGCACCCCAACACATGA